GTTGTTGTTGTTGTTGTTGTTGTTGTTGTTGTTGTTGTTGTTGTTGTTGTTGTTGTTGTTGTTGTTGTTGTTGTTGTTGTTGTTGTTGTTTTTGTTTTTGGTTGTTGTTGTTGTTGTTGTTGTTGTTGTTGTTGTTGTTGTTGTTGTTGTTGTTGTTGTTGTTGTTGTTGTTGTTGTTGTTGTTGTTGTTGTTGTTGTTGTTGTTGTTGTTGTTGTTGTTGTTGTTGTTGTCGTTGTTGTTGTGTTTGTGGTTGTGGTTGATGTTGTTGTTGTGTTGTGTTGTTGTTGTTGTTGTTGTTGTTGTTGTTGTTGTTGTTGTTGTTGTTGTTGTTGTTGTTGTTGTTGTTGTTGTTGTCGTTGTCGTTGTCGTTGTCGTTGTCGTTGTCGTTGTTTTTGTTGTCGTTGTCGTTGTCGTTGTCGTTGTCGTTGTCGTTGTGGTTGTTGTTGTTGTTGTTGTTGTTGTTGTTGTTGTTGTTGCTGTTGCTGTTGCTGTTGCTGTTGCTGTTGCTGTTGCTGTTGCTGTTGCTGTTGCTGTTGCTGTTGCCGTTGCTGTTGTTGTTGTTGTTGTTCTTGTTCTTGTTCTTGTTCTTGTTCTTGGTCTTGGTCTTGGTCTTGGTCTTGGTTTTGTTTGTGTTCTTGTTCTTGTTATTGTTCTTGTTCTTGTTTTTGATCTTGTTGTTGTTGTGTTCTTGTTTTGGTTCTTGTTCTTGTTCTTGTTGCGGTTGTTGTGGTGGTTGTTGTTCTTGGTGTGGTTGCTGTGGTTAGGGTTGATGTGGTTGGTGTGGTTGATGTGGTTGATGTGGTTGTGGTGGTTGTTGTGCGGTTGTTGTGGTTGTTATGGTTGGTGTGTTTGTCATGGTTGGTGTGGTTGTCGCGGTTGTCGTGGTTGTTGTGGTTGCTCTTGGTATTCGGTTGTGTTTTGCAAGGCCCAACTGTTGTGCGTTTTGGTTGTCCCTTTATGCTGCGGGCAGTAGTGAGCGTTTGCGCGTGCGCATTACCTACTGAAACTTGACACACTGTAAATCGACATCGGTTGAATGTCTCAGTGGGGCGGCCTAGTCTTCTGGCTTTCTCACGGTTCTGACGGTACATATGTTGGCACTTGAAATTGGCATCAATTTCTTGGGCACCCCCCCCCAGGCCCCTCCCCCCCGCCCCCTCCCTGTCAACAGCGCGCAATCTTTTTAATCCCAGCTATGCTGCCACTTAATTTTGAGCAACTTCGCCTGCAGTGCCCTGATGAACATGGGGGGTCCCACGCGTGCATATGTGTCTTGAGTCAGCGTCACTGGATCAGCCAAGCTTTCTTGTTTCAGCCAGCTCGGCCTGTCAGGGCATGCTCACCCGCCTGCAAAATGCCGGCGGGGAGCTTAAGCCTGATACATACCCGGCAAGTGTGCTTTGCCGAGACCAGGTGGCAAGTTGTACAATTAGATGACTGCCCCGCTTAGCCTTCGTCGGTATGCAGGGTTAATCCCATCGGTTCCCCGGAGACAACGGATTTCCTACTTACACTTCTCCAGTTTGAGGGGTGGACTCTCTGAATATTTCAGTTGAGAATATGTTTGACATGTTGAAACAGCCAGTGCGCATGCTTGCTAGCAGGCGGGTAAATTCAAAAATGCCCCCGCCTCCTGGAGACATCAGTCACTTCTTTTCGTTTCTGCATTGCCGCCGGGTTTGCTGGTTGCTGGCCAGACAGGCATGGGCGTGAACTTTCGTACAGATACGACGCCCCATCAAACCATTGCCAGGCTTGCCAGCAGGGTTCGGTTGCAAAGGGGATAAAATACTAAATTGCTCGGCACATCTGTCAGGAAGAGTGAAGAGCTGCCGCCCCCCCTGTTGTCAGACGGCAGACACGCATCTTGAAATATCACCTGCCCTTCTCATCGAACAGCGCTGGCCCAGTTTTGGTTCCGAAGGCTGTTGGGTATTTCGCAGTGAGGGTTTCAGGGTTGTAATTAATTTGCATGCGCACTACTTACAATGTCAGACCGATGCCGCCATGGTGCGTTCATTTTGTTTACGTACTGCTTTGCAAGAGCTTCTGCTCAAATGAGCGGCGAAAAAAACCTCCGTAGATCAATTTAGATGAAACTGGAAATTACTCTTGCAGTCGTAAGCGTTTTTGCGTGATTCGTAAGCGATCGGAAGGTCCTGCGTAAGCTGCATGCATGAGTCACTCGTCGTAAGCTTTGCGTAAGCTCTGTTTGTCAGATCCGTTTTTCGTTCAGACTGTTTGGTAGAAGTTGCTTTTGGTCCGCGTAATGCTTTTAGGCGTGAAAATGGGATCAGATTGCTGGAATGGGTTCTTTCGAGCAACAAGGAAAGGGATTCTTTCAGTGAACAACTTTTTCTGGCTCAGACAACTGCTGTTTGACCGTTGGGTTACTTGTGCAAACCTTTTGCAATGTTCCACGCACAGCGCGTTGGCCAGCTTGAACAAAAAAGCTCGCGTTTGGAAAACAACTTTTCGAGACCCGAAAGTTTTGTTTTGGCACCTCACCTTGTTCGTTGCGCGGGCTTGGAAAACAACATGTTGAGCCCCGCTTGTTTTGCTGCGGATTTGCCTTTTCACCTTTGGGCCTTGGGCTTGGAAAGCACAAACAACTTTTCGAGCCCAGAAAAGTTTTTTTTGTTGCGAGGCACCTTTTGCCACCTGCAGGCACTTTTCAGGGCCCCGAAGCCAAAAAAAGCTCGCGGGCTGGAACAACAACTTAGAAAACAACTTTTCGGACCCCCAAAAGTTTTCCCCCTCTATGTCACTGCTGAGCCTGTGCAGCAAAGCCTGCACCTCTTGCTCGCAGCGCCCGTGCGCTGTCTGCAAAGTTTTCTTGAGCTGTTGCCCCTCTCTGGCCGTGAAAGCTTTAACACCGGCTTCGGGCAGCAACATCAGGATCACATGGTGTAGTGGTATCACACCCGCTTCGCATGCGGCAGGCCCAGGTTCAATCCGTGTGCCCACGTCAATGCTGAGCTTGCGCGGTAAAGCCTTTGCACCTTTCCGTGCAAGCTGTTGCTCTGTCATGCTGGCGCCTCTTGCTCGTAGTGGATCCTCGCAGAAAACAACTTTTCGGCTTCCCAAAAGTTTTCCCCTCCATGTCACTGCTGAGCCTGTGCAGCAAAGCCTTTGCGCCTTTCCAGGCAAGTTGTTGCTCTGTCCTGCCGGCGCCTCTTGCTCGCAGAGGTTCCGCGCGCTTTCTGCAGAAAACAACTTTTCGTGCCCCGAAAGTTTGTTTTCAGCTTTTGGCCCTCCATTGTCTTGCTGGGCCTGCGCAGCAGCCTTTCCATCTGCAAGCTGTTGCTTTGTCATGCTAGCGCCTCTTGCTCATCGAGGATCAGGCACGAGCAACTTGTCGTAAGCTATGCGTAAGCTCCATCTTCGAAAAATAACAAACGTAAGCGACCTTTCGGTTGGCGGAAGCTTTCCGCAAGCGATTGCGGAAGCTGAAGTAATTTCCTTTACGGGTAACAGGGTTTTTTTTCACTGCTCAAATGGAGTGGATCGCATTTGGGGAATGAAGCTGTTGTTCTTCAAATGTGTTGCATTGTGTTTTTTCCCGAGTAATAGCCAGAAAGGCTTGCATGGTCTCACATGCGAAGCAGGCAGCGCACATGCCGGCCATGGAGCCGAGGGAAGATTTCAAAGCGCAGGTCGTTTCGAGCGGCGTCCAGGTCGGGGTTGTCCATGCATCACCAGCGCCTGTTGCCTTTTGGACAGGACCCTGGGTTGGGGGGCTTCCGATTTTACTGGATGGGTGGCACCAAACCCCAGAGAAAGCACTTCCTCAAAGCCAATGGCCAACCAAATCGTTTCCAACTGTGGGCTGTGACTCAATCACATGACGTGATGTGAAGGAATGGGGCACATGTTCAGTGTGTAGGAGAAGCTCGTTGTGTTGGTTGAAGCAAGTGAGCATAAAATCAGCCATCTCAAGCTGACTCAAGCATGCCCATATTTTTGCATTCACCCAGACAAGCCCGTTGCGATAAGCCCACTGGGTCATGGCAGCATCCTACTTGTGCAGATGTTAGGGGAGGTTTCAGCAAGGGCGATTTCCTGGGCCCTCCACGGGACCAGACAACTGCCCTGCAGATGTTACAGGCACCGAGACCTCCAGTTGATATGTGGGATGGGCATCCATCCGGATTGATAATAGGCAGTTTAGCAGGCCTCAACATTCCACAACGGAGTTCGTGTCCTCACGTCCATGCCCACGAACTCACCTAGAAAGTTTCCAGAGTTTTTCGGAGTTGCTCAGAGACAGCTTGTGCTGGCAATACATTCCGAAACTGCCTTGTGGACGGCGCTCCTTCTGCGCGCGGATGCGTTACGTACACTAAGGGGTCGTTTGGAGCCCTGCCGCGGCACACCAGGTCAGCCGCACACCATAAGATAAAAAAGTTCGTGCTACGTCTGCCATCCCAGGGGCTCCTATATGTCCATATCATTTCCCGCTTTTGGTGTGGTTTGATGAGCATTCTTAGTCGTAGTGCCATGTGGCTGCGGATGGTGATGGCATACCTAGTTGTCGAATGTGTCTCGCATTCAAAAAGCATATTTACGCAATTCGAAAGGAGCCCTGTTCACAATCAGGCTGCTTAAATACTGGCTGTTCAGGGGAACAAATATATGGCATCTAGAAACTTGTGTGAGAGTCCAGCTGGTATCGCTGATGTAGAAGTTTGTCCGGGGCTGCTCTCAAACATAGCCACCCCCTTTGGTCTTACACAATCCCTTCATTGTCCACTCAGCTGTGTCTGTGTCTGTGTTTGTGTGCGTGTGTGTGCGTGTCTGTGAGTATCTTCAGGTGCATGGGCCTGCTCATGTGCCTGCTCATGTGTAGATGTGACCTGAATCACCCTCACCAGTTGGCAGGCAGCCATACGGCCCATGGCCAATGTGCACTAGGATAGTTCTCTTTTCACCATACTTTTGACAAGGTTATTCACATCGCGGCCACGTCCAGACTGCTGTTGCCTTTGGCTCCAGAACGCAGGGATTCCCGCGAGGAACAACACGCAGGCAGCCGAATTCCACCCACCGAGACCAGATTCCGAGCACCGAGAGCCCAGCCGCGCTTGTGAAGGCTGCGAGCTCAGCACGGAGCTTTCTCTCACGGGGCTGGTTGGTGAAAAGTTGTGGTGTTGCTTCCGTTTTATCCAGACTCCAGGTGGCCCTCCTTACTATGGGTGGAATATGTGTTGCAGTGGGAGACATGGGTGCCATGGTCAACGCTTGGCATGTTGGTTGGATGCAGGATAGGCCTTTCACTCGGCTTGGCACTTTGGCATGTTTTCGGCATGGCTCAGGGCCTCATCTCGGCGAAGTAGCGGCCTGTTTCTTCAGCTAGTTTGGATACAGCCGAGTGACATGATACAACAGCAGAGTTACACAGTTGCATTTTACCTGGTTCTTGGACCTCCTGGTGCCCCTGCGGGACCGGCCATGGCCGTCCAAGAGTTTCCGCGCCATGCGGAGACAAGTTTCAGAGAATGGGTGGTCTGCTTTTGGTGTCCCTTCCGCCCACCGAAAGCAGGGGAGAATGATATTAAATAGGTATACCCCATGGTAAACAGCACCCTCCAAGAAGGGAACACTGATATACCCAATGGTAAACAAATAGTTCGGTCCCCCAGTAGTGCCTTTTTACCCTTCTTTGGGGGAGGCTTCCCCTACTAAAATAGGCTACAGAAAAAGGGTACCCTTATCTCTTCTTAGGTCCTCTCTGCCGGAGGACCCAGATAGTCCAATAGTCACGGCGAGCCAATTGCTGGAACTGAGGCCCCATGGCGGGCCACCAGTGCGGTGACCATGCCGGGCACGTAGCGAGCTACATCGGCGACTGATGAGTGTGTCTTTTTGGGGACACCCCCCAAAAGTATGCTGTTCCCTTTGGGTTTCTTTAAAAAGCACAAACAATGGTGCTCAAAGAAGACATAACTATATGTTGAATAGTCTTTAGAAGTATGAGTGATTGGTTCGTGCATATCCCCAAATTGGAGGGGATGGAAATGCTTCCAAGAGTAATATGTGTACATATATATATATATATATGCAATAATGCAAATATGTGATGTCATGCCATTTCATCATTATTTGTGACACCGATATCTTGCCTTTTCACATGCCCAGATCAAGCCAAACACCCACGCGACTAGCCTGAAGCAAATCGGGATAAAGGGGAAGATGCGTTTCGACACAGATTGCAGCATGCTCGTACAGAAAGCATCGCTTTCCCGCATGGCAATAGGCTTTCAATGTTTGAGCGGAACCTGCTGATGCGTTTAGCATTTTAGCCTCAGGTTCTTGGGTGCAATGAGTTTAGTGGATCCCGGTGGCCACATCCGGGTGGAGGGCAAGTGATGCATTGGGCCTTCAGAAGTTCAGGTCGTTGAGGCTGGTTGGGCTTGAAGTTTTTGTTTTGGTGGGGTTGGGGCCAGTCTGGGGGTTCCAACGGGGCGCTGCGCTGAAGGCTGCTGCCTTCTTCGCGGTGTCCAATTTGAACCGACCCTCAAATGGCCGGCAACAAACCTGCCGGGACGAACTTTGCAAACGATGCCTTTTGCCACTGTTGAACATGGCATGTTTCATGCAGGTAAGACTTAGGCAGCCTGCAAGAACGGCTGAACATAGACAATCTCAGATATCCAAATTGAGAAGACAGAGGGCCTCCAGAGTGCCCTGCCATAGGCTTGGCATTTGTGTCCACGCTGACCCAAACGAGTCGACCTGAACTTCTGACTTGAGGCTTGGGAATTGGCCTATAGTCGAATTCCCCACCTCGCCCACCCGATGTCTTGCATTATGTTGAAAGGGCAAGACACGTGCAGACCCTTCTCGGCCAATTCGAACGGGTAAAACAAGCCTACCCATGATGAAGGGTGCGTGTTAGCCAGTTTCACACCTCTAGGTTTGTTCGCCCCTCATTTTCTCGCGCTTAGCCGGGAAAACTGCAGGAACAAAGCCAAGCCGGTATATTTAGAGGCACCAGTTCCCCATTTTGGAATCCAAAAAGGGGATCATGTTTGCTAGCTCCATGTTCCTCTTGAGCTTGAGCAACTGACCGCGCGCAGGTCCACATCGTTTGGGCCGCAGCAGCCTCGGTCGCAAGCAATTGTTTTTTTTATGGCAGAAGTTGGGTCAGAAAAGCAAGCTTGCTAAAGGCTGCCAAGCAATATCTAAAGTTGTGTTTGTGGCTATCGGTCCTCCACTACGTCAGTCTGATAGGTTTGTGAACATGTTTTGCAACGCGCCGTGGAGACATTAAACTTGTCAGATTCACAAGGTGCACTCTCGAGGTGCGCGTGCAAGGACCCCCTGAGAATTGTGCGCAGGGCTCACCTCGTGTAGGATTGGGCGCTTCCTGGAGGGTTTTCTGCTCGAAAGAAGAGAGCCCATGTCTTCTGCTTTTCTGGCTGTTGCCTGCGGTTGCCTGTACAAAGTCGCCACCATCCTTCCCCGGCAACCCGTTCAGTTTTGCCAGTCAGCCTTAGAGATCAAATTCGGAAATGCCGTGCAGAGCAGATCGTTGCGCTTTAATGGAACGGGACAAAAACATACCTTTCCCCCCAGGTCGCTTCTGGGAAAATACGAATGCAGTTTTAGTTATGACATGCAGTTTGACCCTTCACTTCTCTGGACGAGACTTCCTCACTTGGCTGCTGTTTCATTTCAGCTCAACTAGTGGGGGATGTGATCATCCTCCCCCAGGACAATAATGGACATGTCACTGGGTTGAGGAGCCATCCCCTTTGCCCACATTTGCCGGGAATTGCGACATCTACGCATAATAGATCTACCGTTGAGATGTCTTAAACCAACCCGAAGAAGGGCACCGTCACGAGACGCACACCCTTTCTATGCCATTGGACCCGGACTCCGCCCAGAATTCCTCGGATGCATCATCCAGTCAGTCGGAGACACCGCGCGGAAGCGCCCGCCCTAGGTGAGATTCGATTGGCATGGTCTGCAGGGAAACCAGGGAAACCAAAAGGAAACCAACCATTTAAGGGGTGCCCCTATTTGACACCTGCTCGATTGGGGTGGGGTTCAAGGGAAACCAAGAAACGAAATCCATTTTGGGCGTCGGAGCCCCTTTCTTTGCATATTCCCAATGTTGGAGCTTGGCCGTTTGGCCTCCTTTCAGTTAGCTTTTGCGTTTGCTAGTGCAGGGTTGAGCCAGATTCAAGCCTATATGATGTATATTTGAGGTAGCTTGTTTACTGGGATGGCAGTTCACAAATTGCCTCTGTGCAACTCATGGCTCATGAAGAAGGTCCTCATAGGGTTTGTGTCTCATTTGCCCCGCACTTGCCTGACCTGACAGCATGCTGGCTGATATGAAATCATCTACGTGGGGCAAGATGTTGGCAGATTCGGGCCTTGCGAAAACGAAGGCTCGGACTAGATGGCTCAAACGTATCCTGCCTCGGTGTGTGGCTTGGCTTGAACCATCCACAAGGAGGATCACCTGTGTCTCTATGGTGCCCCTGTGGAGTCCAAATGGCCCGCTGGGCAAAGCGAAGGGACACATAGTGCCAGGAGCGTGCCGCTCCGCGTGGGGAGAGGCAATGACGCAAGAATGCAAGAACATGTGACTTGCTTTGTGCCACTGAGCTGGAGATTGAGCACCCTGCTGTTCTCTTCATTTGCGCTGTTGTTGGAAGTTACAAATGCTTGGCGCAGGGGGTTGTTTGCACAGCAATTGAAAGAGCAGTATCAGACAGGCTTCCGACATCCTTTACCTTAAAGAACCAAGAAGGCAAATGGTGGGGGAAGGTCAAAGATGCCTTGAATACCGGGGGGAGGGGGGCTGGGGGCGGGTTCGCTCCGACCCTGCTGACATCCGAGTTATGCGGCAGACTCCGTTCATGCCAACGGCTGGCGGCCCCAGATCACAGGGCCGGCCGGGTGTCAAAACAAGTTGATACTTGGTCTACATGTGAACGAAAGGTCAATGTGAATGTTTTCGAGGGGGGCTGACTTTGCTAGCTGTAGCGTAATGACACATTTCGCACGTAGCGCCATGTCTTGTAGGGCGAAGTTCCCCGTCCAAAAAGACAATGACTTCCAAGAACGGCCCATTGTCATGGGTCCACTTGCGCCTGATATGTTTACTCCTTGACACGGACCACAGAGCGCAATAAGTTCCTGGACTAAACAAATGTTTCGACCAACAGTGTCTTGGCTGCCGTTCAGGACTTGGTTTGCAATCCTGTCATTGCCTACAGGGGTCTGCAATTCTCTGTGGTTTTTGCTTGCTTCCTTGCATATTTTAGGATCCAGTCTTTACATCATGGTCAGGCAGCAGCAATGCCACCTTCTGCTGTGTGTGTATGTGTGTTTCAGTGGGGCTGGCAATTGCAGAACTGTTCCGTTGTCATCACCCAGCATGGCTGAAACCAGTGACGGCACAAAGTCGTTTTGGATAGAGTTGGCCAAGCAAGGCGTTCAACCCGAGTTGGATCTGTCAGGCAGTGGGTTGAGAGGAAGACAGGGGTGCTGAGCATTGTAATTTCCTGAATCTAAGAGCCACCTACTGTGGATGAACGAAATCCTGCAGCACCGAAGAAACCCTGGAATGATGATTTCCTTGTACATACCAACAAACAATGGTTTCCCCATGTTTTTCAGGTGATGCAGGATTTCGTCCATCCACAGCATGACCCTACCCACCCGATTGAAGAACCCCGAGGAATTCTTTCAAAGTTGCGCTTTGTTCGCCTGGCGCGAGCTTCTTTTCATGAATGGGGTTTGAGGGCGCCTCGTTGCCAGAGACAAAACGAGAAAGGCAGACGAGCAAAGAGCCATCTCGCTTTGGTAATCTGTTCTTTCCTGGTATGCCCCCCCAACCCCCCCCCAAAAGAAAAACTAAAACAAAAAAACAACTAGAGACAACAAAGAAAAGCCCCCTCCAAAGAACAACAATAAACAACAAAGAATCGGGGGAGGGCACTTGGTTCCCATGTCGCATTGAGTCGGCGTGGCCCTTGGAGCCCTTCTCGGTGGCCAGGGCCACTCCTCCAGTTCGAGCGGCCAGCTGAGACCGACGCGTTTCTTCAAAATGGGCGGGTGTCTTTTATTCGGAGACCCCTCCCCCACAAAAATAGATAAAACGAATATGGCGGTGTTGCTTTTGATTTCCCTTCAAGACCACCCAAAATGAAAAAGACACACCAAATGGATTTTGAACCCCCTTTTGGCTGGTGTCTGGGAAAAGGAAGCCGGTGCCAACTTTTTGGGCGCCGCCATTTTGAGAAAGCAATGCCCCAGATGTCGCTCTGTTTCTTGCACTCTTGCCAGCCCGGCCGGCAGTTATACAATCAGATGGGATTCCCTTTGTCGTGTTGGCAGTTCGTTGTGCTTTTTGGGCTGCCTTGCATCACGTTGGCTTCGGCATGCTCTCGCAAGGGCAAGCACGGGTTTGCAATTTGCCAAGGGCGTAAGCTTTCTGAACATAGAAAAGCTGGGCCTCTTTGGGTGTTTGCGTGCTCGCGCATTCATTGCACCTCTCTCCTTTTTGTGTTTTGTTCACGTGTTGTTTCATCATGTGGCAAAACGGCCGAATGGCCGTTTGGCTCAAGATTTGGATCCCCCGTCGGGACTTCCTTGGATTTGCGTGCGTTCGCCATAGTGCGGCGATTGGCTGCACCATCGCGGAAAAGGTCCGTGGTGTTCCAGCTGTTCGGCACTAGGAGGTGGGCGGCAGGTCGCCGAGGTGCTCCCGGGCCCGACCCGTGTCTTTACCCTCTTCTACCAGTTTCCTAACCTCCCCAAACTTGATCTTCACTAACTGTCACTCCCACAATCTGGTCACCGGCACCCTCTACATTGTGCTTTGGGACTGGGTTCTTTTGGTACTTCGTGAACCACGTGTACCTCTTTGATTCCCTGGGCTACTTCGTGTTCGCCCAAAACCGCAGGTTATCAGCCGTACCAGCTAGAAGCTGGGGCTGGTGATCCGGTTGCGGGACGTGACCCGCTACCTGCTCCCATCGCCTACTTGTACGAGCAATGGCGTCCCCCGGAGCTTCTCATCGTGGGCCGGGCTTCGTGGACGACGAGGCCAACGCCCTTCGCGGCAACGCCGCGCCTGCTGCCCCCGGCTTAGACAGCCGGCTGTGGCCCATTCCCCCGATGGTGGGCGCAGAGCCCAATCCCGGGGTGATCACGGACGATTGGATCCTTTCTCAGGTTGTGTTTGATGAGGATGCGGAGGCCCCTATCCCGGCGGCAGTGCTCCAGATCGAGGACGGACCCCCTCTAGAAGAGGCTGAGGTTCCTCCAAATCAGGTGCCCTCATCGATTTCGCCTACTGTTCCGTTCGTGGCGCTCCAGATCGAGGACCGGGCTATCCATCATGCTGCTCATCCGGAGCCGGCTCAATCATGGTCCCTTACATGGGATCAGTTTGACCAACTCCTCGGCAGTGGATCGCAGGCTACACCGCCTGATTTCGGTCGGCTCGACTTTAACTCGGGTGCCCCCGTTTCGGTTGGGAATCTGGATTTTCAATCCCTTTTTGATGCTGATTGGAGGTCTCAGCCTTCCCGAATTGACGGATCCTTTGATGCCCTGCCGTCGCATGAGCCTACTCAGGGTTTTCCTAATGATGGAGAAAATGACCCCGTTGAAGATTTCTCCCCTTCTCATGTTGCAGGTTCGGCCCAACCCGAGGTGGGCAAACGGGCGATTGAGGATTGGCCGCAAATAGCTGGCCCTCCTCCCGTCTCAGGTTCATCCGACATTGACATCATTCACGATCACCCCAGTCCGGCGGATATGGACTTCATCCCTGATGCAGTATCATCTCACCTGTCAGGTACCCGTGACCGGAATGCGGACCGCTACAACGCTGGTCCGAATCCACCGCTTTCCTCAGGTACCCGAGGTCGGGATGCGAACCGCTACAACGCGGGCTCAAATCCGCCAAATCGGACATCAGGTACTAATCGATCGGATGTGGGCCGCGAAACAGCAGGCCCAAATCCTTCCTCCTCTTCGTCAAGAAGCCATGCCGGTCTCTTCGCGGCGTTCAATCGGCGTCAGACTCGAAAAGAGTCCGCCCCCGACATCATCGACCTCGAGGAGCAGTCCAGCCACCGTACCAGCGATGGATCCGAGCAGGATACACCTGGTATTGGCTCCACTCCATTTGACCTCCTCGACATCCCCTTCCATCAGCCACCCAGGAGAGGAAATGAAGATGATGAAACCATCCCTGGAATCCTTGATGTAATCGATGAGGCCGAGGTCACACCAGAGAGACGAACGACATCGCTCCCGCCGAGCCGCGTTGCCAAAGTACTTTCCCCTAAGCCACTCATTGGTGACGTTGCTCAACGGCTTGATCTCACTCAACCTGATCCAGATCAAGCTCAACTTCGCGGGTCGTCATCTTTTGATAACATGTCGGGACAAACCGGCACTGACTCACGAGCCACAAAGAGGAGCTCTGAGTCACCCGAGAGACGTGAAGCTGCTTTGCGATTGCGATCTAATCCCCAGCTCATCACGATCCTATTGACGTTCCTATCCACTCTGCGGGGTCTGGGCTCAGCTCCAATGCCCCGATGTCTGAGAAGGAGACTGATGACGGGATTAACTCTACGCCCAGGAATCGGAGACCTGGACTCAGCACTGTTGCTCCTGGTCATGGAGGGCTTCCTTCAAATCAACCGGTCAACAACTCCCTCGTCCCCGCATTCTTTCAAATTGGAACTCCGGGCTGCACTCCTGACAGGGAAGAAAATAGGCGCGGAGATCATGACGCTGATAGTCGTCCTGCTCCGTCTGCTTCCACAAGTGGCGGCCATCCTGTTGCATCTGAGCTTCAACGACTGCTTCTCGCGATCCACAACGAGGTAAAGGGGTGCAAGGCCGAAATCCAGGGATGCAGAACCGAGATTCGTTCATGTAGGGATGATGTCAACGCTTGCGTCGGTGAGATCAAGAAGATCAATAACCGTGTTGACGCCTTCGAGAAGAAGGTTGAATCATCTTTCTCTGCCGTTGCCGGAACTCTCTCAAAACACGAGGCCAAGTTCCGTGATTTCCACGAGTGGGTCGCCCGAAGCGAGAAGGAGATGAATGAGCGTTTCAAGATGTATGATGAGAGGTCTGACTCGATCGTCATATCCGCTGCTGAACTTCGCGAGCAGGCCGAATCACTTGAGAACGTCAAGGTCCAGCTCCTTAGGTTCTCTGAGATCGGGGCCCTTGAGGCTGAGGTTCGGAAAATCAAGGACGAAGTTGAGGCGAACTCTCGCAGTGTCATCGACATTGAGGGAACCATCTCAAGGGAAAGAACCATCCGTGGGAACGTCGAGACGTATATCCAGCAGCTCGTTCCTGCGACCGACCTGAAGCAGTTCAGTGATAGGATGTCCGGAGCCCTCAATGAGAACTCACAGAAACAGGAAGAGTTCAAGCTTCAATTGTCCCGTATTGCTAGGTGCGTCAAGGACCTTCATGACAAAAGCTTAGGCCCCAATCCGAGGGACATGCAAGAGCAGTTTATGAAGCTTGTGCTGAGGGTCAATGAGATCAACATGCAGATCGCTGAGTTGAGGGAGCAACCTCTTGCTGCCTGCGGATCTTCAAGTGCTGGCGCTGCTTCGACCGCCGGAACGGGACCATGGGAGAAATCTGGAGACACTGATCCCTTAACCCAGGGAAGGGCTCCTAGAGGTTCTCCTCTCGTGATGCTCGCACCGTCAGCTCGGCTAGGCCTCCTCCACCTCCACCTCCTTCAGGGCCACCCCCACCGTCACCATCAGCCCCCATCTTCGGCAGGGATCCCTCTAGAACGAGGGCCATTGCTCGGGCTGCCGGCGCTGCCCCTGATAACCGGGCCAGGTGTGATCATGAGGAGCCCGGGCATCCACAGCATCGGGAACCTCGCTATCCATGCCGAAGCTGCGGCAAGTCAGTCTGCGAAGACTGCTTTGACCATGATTGTAACTCGTGTTTCAAGTGCAGCGATCAGTTTCCTAGATGCCGCGCATGCAGAGGAAGAGGGGGGAGACACGGACTTGTGAGGTGTCTCATATGCAAGGACGAGTACTGCGATCAACACATCGCCTCACCTGACGATGTGCGCCGTTTTGGATCGAGTGTTCGACCTATTTGCCTCGGTTGTCTGAGAGCTGACCCCGACGGGAAAACTAAGCATCGCGGTCCCAGTGCGGGGCCTGGAGGACCTGATTGCATTCCTGATCATAATCAGCGGGATGGCACTGCTCCTGATCCTGGATCCGGGCCATCACGTGGAGATCCGTCACATCGGAGTCCTGAACCGCACCAAGGGAACTCTGGTTCCTGTTCCCACGCCGGAGCTGCCGGGCCAATGCCACCAAGGGCGATGTCTTCGCCCGTAGTCGGGCGAGCTGTTCTGAGGGGGACCATCAACACGTATCCCGGATGTTCCCCTACAGGGGGGATTTTCACCGGTCAGGTTGAGCATGGAACGTGTCAGGGAGTCATTCGCGGGAGGTACGGACCTGACGCTGCTGTGACAAATCAGCAGAATCCACAGCCTCACCACGGAGTACAGGATAACTCTGGCGGGCCGACTGGTTTCTCTCTTCCACCAGGACTCGGTAAGGGTGCGCATGGCGCCGGTGGCGTCGGCGGTATTGGAGCTCCCGATCTTCGCCGATCTTCCGCTGAGGAGAGGGTCTGCCCTCGATGCAACATAAATGTCAAGACCAGCATCCCCGGGACGCCTCCATGTTTCCAAACTTGTTCGTTGTGCCGCACTTCTCTATGCGCCGCGTGCTGCCCGCCATCGTCCGGGAGTTGCTCTCTGTGTGCCATATCCATTGGCAGAGACGGCGTTTTACCTCCCCATGTTTTTGGGCAGGCTACTCGACCTCCCTTAACTTCGTTGCCATCTGAGGCGAACAAGTGCGCCAACATAGAGCTCGAAAAAGAGCCCGCACCGCATGAGTTGCGAGACTGGATCATTTCCACGAGAGAAATCGTGAGCAACGCATTCAGCTATGACTCGCCATATGCCATGTCTTGGGTC